AAAAATGAATTTGTGGGAATTAAAAAACAACTTTTAGTTGCAAATTGTGTATATTGATCTGATCACAAAGGCAATTGCAAATTCAATACAATTACTACTTACTTATAATTAATTGCCACCTAAATGGTAAAAATGAATAATATAAACATTCAGTCAGTAATGTTTATACTTTCCCCTAGCTATGTAGTCTATTCATCAGCTGCATACAATAGCATTCCATGAGCTGAGAGTTTAATTATTGGCTAATTTTCGGGTCACTTCATTAGCAACCGATTTAGCCTCTCCTTTGTATAATCTCTCATGCTAAAACAGAGAGTGTATTCAAGCATTTCGACTTTCTCTATAAAGTATTCTTTTAACAACCGTGTGCTCAATAGTGTTGTTACAGAGAAGAAGTTAAAAAATGGAAGGAAATGACGCGTTAATCTGTTTCGCACAAAAATTTGATTGAGGATGTGGGCGGCTCGTGCAAGACCGCGGGAAAAAATTTGCTTTTCGCCACGGTGCAGGACAATGTGATGCATTGCACAACCAAAATCTATCGGATTGTTACGAAATAATTATTCTTTTCCTCGAAGTTAATTAAAAAATCGCTAACTCGACATAATTTGTTTATTTGGGACGCCAGAGTTGTAAAATCCCCAGGTGCATATTGGCCTTTAGCAATGCAATTATCACGGAATAAAAAATTTCTCTCCTCAATAATAAATAATAAGCTCGGGGATTTTTTGATTTATGTTTCTGCGGGCGAGTTCAACGCCAGGTTCAAGCAGCAAATTGAAACGAAATTATCGACGAAAACACAAAGCAGTCTCGTTTTCACAAACAATTTTTGATTTATCCCCTCTGGAAAGAATGATCATTAAATTACTTTAGCGACCGCGTTTCGTCGGTGTGCACAATGCGAGTTATTTTATGCATATTTTCTCGTCTCTCTCTCGGCCTGGATTTCCTCGACGATGAATGCATACATTTATTTTCCAACTAATAGCGGGTTATTTGTGAGTGCGCCGGTGATTAATCTGTTCGGAAAGGAGGTCTTAAGCAGCGACCGGTAAAGCTCACACACATTTCTTTCTTTTGTAAATTGATTTTTTATCGGAAATTCTTCCCGTTTTGAAAGTGTAGTTGACGAATTTTCTCGTGGGCAGAGCAAGAGAGAAAGAAAGAGATGCACCGCCGGGAGAAACGGCTGTGCAGCTCCTTCAGTTTTTGGCTCTGATAGATGAGGAAGACTGACAGCTGTGAGAGATGCTTATAAAGATGTGATCAACAAGAAAAATTGGGCGCGATATCTCACAAGAGCATAGGAGAAAGCGAAACAATGCGAAAAGAATATACGAGATTAAAAGTGACGAGCAGAGCCAATTAGCTGGATTTTCATGTAGGGTACTTTCTTCTATTGGAATAAAAATATTTGGCCATGATGAAAGTTTGAGGATTTATTTATTTCAATTATTTTCAATTAATGCATGTAATGAATTTATTTTCAACAAACAAACTCATAGTAAAAAATTAATAATTATTTAATCAGCATTAGCTATACTGAAATTACAGTGGCTCTATATTTAAATTTTTTTACTTTTAATATAATTTAAATTCAAATTCATATTAATTTTGCAAAAAATTAAAAAAAAAAAACAAAATAAAAATAAATTACAACGAAAATTTTATCAAATAAATTAAAATTTAAAGCACCGTTAAGATGTAACGTTGAAGAAACAATTTTTTTTATTATATAACATTTTTAAGAAAATAACATTTTATTTCTAGATAATAATAAAATTAAATAGGTTTAATATGATATAGATATCTATATGGATATCTAATAATTTTCATAATTTTAAGAGTTTGTTTTTATATTTTGTCCATCTGTAATTATTGTAAATCGAATGTATTCATTTGAGATAAAAATCAGCAGGAAATAGCCTTGGTGTCGAATTGCAAAGCCTTTAATCAATTACAAATTCTAGCCGAGGAAGACTGAACGCATGAAAAGAAACTCTGTGCCCAAAACAAATCGTCCAAAGCCATATCCATCAGCATTCATAAATTCCAATTTCCAAATGAGGACACGCCCTTGAACGGTGGTGCAAAATGATGTCATTCGCACAAATGCAAATCCATTCAAAAAGAATAGCGCATCGACCGAGTGTCTCGTTCATTTGTAGTGGCCAGCATTTAAAACAGGAGAGGTCCACGTGAGTCACCTGAAAGTCAGGTCCAGCAGCGGCACCTGAGCGCAACAACCTTTTCAGGTGCACGCCGGTTTTTTTTTTTCATGCGGATGGGATTTCTCCCAATTAAGATGCGATGGCCAGGATGGCCTGATAACTTTTCTCTTTGATATTTTTTTTATGCTATACATTGCGGTTGTGTTTCAACTGGGAGCAGGTTACATAGAAATTGCGAACTTTTTTGATAGACAGGAATATCGATTTCTCAAACACGACGGCGTGTCTCCCCCAATTTGTATTTGAGAATTTACAAGAGAAAAAGGGGAGATAGGCCGCGCGTGCACTTGCATTAATGCACGATTATGAATGAGTCATGCGTGTGTGGACTTTTTAGACACACACACGTATATAGTACATGGCGGTTGATGTAAACAAGAGTGCACTTTTTATGTCAGGTTCGATTGGAGAAGCTTTCAAGATTTTCCTCTTCATGTGACGCACACGATCCAAAAATATACTGGTAGAATTTTAAACATTGAATCAAAAAGTAGAATGTAAGATTTCAAATAGTTTTTTAATGCTTAAATATGCAATTTAGATTGATTTTTTAACAGAAAATTATCTTTCCTTTCAGAAAAATTTGTATGCGCCGATCGAATATAAGTTCCAAAAAAATGTAAGTCAGTGGCTGCGTGATATTTGTTTCGCCTTTTTCTAAACGTCAATCATAATATTAAAACTCAAATTGGGCGTAAAGCGTGGCTAAACTATTTCCGCCTAATTTCACACTAAACAAACCGCGCTCTAGCACCGATTTCTCTTTGACATTTCCAGTCGATAGGTTAAAAAAAATCCTATTTTGTTATCGGGCGTCCAAATCGCAAACCATATGAATATTACTTCACCAATAATCAATTGCGTCACATTATTCACTGCAACGACGAAAGAAGAGCCAATAAAGTGCCATCCATCTTTCTCAAGAGAGACGTACAGTATCATTAGTGCATTCAAAGATAGCAAAATCGCACACGATTTCTTATGCAACGCACTCGCGCCTCGAAACAATAAGGAGAAAAAACCTGAATCACGGCGCGTCACGGGAAAACTTCAATCAATTAAGCACACACAATGGAGTGAGAATCGCTGATGTTTAATATATTTGTATCAAAGGAAAGGAATTATTCAAAGGGATGAGCTGCACAAAAGGAAGATTCATTTGTTTGTCAATCGGGAAAGCTGAGCAGATTTCGGGTCACAATCTGCGCCATCATTAAGGTCGGTGAAAATGATTTCAAATCTTTTTGCTTGACAATGGCGAGATTGTAGAAGGAAATGTCGGCGTGATTATTAAGATGGCATTTTTCAAAGACCACCCAGTGCTTATAATTTCAATAACACGAGCAGTTTATAATATAGTGTAATAATTACAGATACGTTAAGATTGTCAAGAATTTTGGCTATTTTTTAATTTAAATTTTAATGAAATCAACTCAAAAGTTGGAAAAAAAATTCAGAGGTAACAGCAATCCTATTATATTTTGTATGCAAAATTTTATAATTCACACATGATAAGGAAATTAAATAATTTTATATTAAAAAATTCTGTCCGAGGCCGTTAGTTCTTTATACAGCCTAGCTTGACGAGACACTAATTAATTGTGGCGTGACTTCATCTCCTAAATGTGCGTCACCAACACATAGTGTCACCACGCAATTTTAAACATTTTCGCACAAACAAAAGAAATGTCGCCCTTGAATTTGAGGTAATTTTGCCTCTTTTTTACATTTTTTTTTTATCACACGGTATACATCATAATTCTTGGTGAGAGATTCGCGCTACCTTTCCCACCCTGCTGTTCAATTGTTCAAAAAAAGTTTTTTGCCCTTTTCGTGGGTCATTTTATAAAAAATCGACGCGTCTGCCAGAAACAAACAAAGCTCTTCGGATTGTTGGTTCCGAAGACGCGCGGCCCACCCTGGACCGTGGAGCGGAACACTCACTACCGGCCAATGCGCACTCATTGGAAAATGATGGACAATAGTCGAATGTGCCAAACAAAATCACCACATGTGAAAAGCACCAGAAGGATTCGCGCGTCAGTAAATAAATTTATGTTTTAGCGGCAGACGTGGAGTCGGAACCAAACGGAATTGGGATTCGACTTCTTCCTGGTCTGCTCTTTTTGTGCGAGAAAAATAATAATAAAGTTTTATTTCGCCTCTTTGGTTTTCTGTGAGAAGGATGTTGACTTTTGGGAGCTTTGACCATAGGTGAGAACGAAGAGCGTTTCGTTTCAGTTCAAAGAGATAAGTAATTATGAGGTTTAAAACCACATTAATTTTGAATTAAAAAATTTTCATTTTTATCGATTATATTGATTTTACTGTCAAAATCCATCGATTTGTATGTTCCAGCAAAAAATGTCAATTTCAAGTTTGAAAGGGAATAAGGGCATTTAAGCCTATATTATTACTATCTTTTCATTTTTAAAATTGTTTAGGAAATGAATTATATTAATTAATCAAGCACAAACGATAAACAAATAATGATTAGTGATGCATTATTAAATTTAATTTCATAAAAGTACCATCAAGTGACGTAGTGTATTTAAACATAAAATTTTTCAATACTGCAATTAATTTTTTTTGTAACTTTTTAAATAGTGAAATATACCTACATTATTATAAATTAACAACAATTAATAATTTAAATAAATTATAAATGTTTAATAGTTTAAAAATTTAATTAAAAAATGAAAATATATAATAATATTGTTTAGTTTCTTTAGCTTTAACATAAGTACTATTTACTTTGCAACTTACTTTAATATCCAGCAAAATGATGCACAAATCCCGGAAAGTGTGGCTTTTAAGAAGAAATCAGGTGCACATCTCCAGAGCGCGAAAACAATTTTTTATTTCTCTCTTTGGCGGTGAGAGTGAATAAAAGGGAACAAAGCACTGAAGCGCGCGGGTCGGCGAAGCATTCGCTACTAAAGCTCGGCCTGGCTGGCTGGCAAGTGCACCAGTGGCAGGGGCACACCCCACCAAACTTTTCCTGTGGCGTGCGCGACTCGAGTAAAAAAAAACTACGCGGCGGCGCTCAACCTGCTGCCCGCCCGCCGTAACCCTTTCGACCTGCCGTAAAATATCACGGAATGAACGAAAGTGCTGCTTCCATTAAGAGACCAATTTTGTCCTCTGTTGGATTTGAATGCCTGTAATTCAAGAAATATTATATTTACTGTATGGAGAATTATATTAATGAGAATGCAATTTTGTCATTCACTTACATTCTCAAAATCTAAGTTGACAAGAAAATTGATAAATTTGGTTGTTTCTCCATAACTTTCTTCTTCCAATTTTATAGCTTTGAAATAAGTTATTTTCGTTTTTTGAATAATTAATTAATTTTATACTAATACTGATGACTGTTTTTCAAAAATTAGATTTTTTAATAAGTAACATGGCAGTCTTCATCATTTTATAAAGTTTCTCTCATTTAGCTTTTTTCCGTAGTTTCCTTTATCTTTTCCTCTCAAACTGTTTGAGAGTCCATTTGAAAGAGAACCCTTTTCTTATTATTATTCTTAATTATTCAAAAATAGATGTTCCCCTAGTCGGGCAGCATCAAGCTCTTTGTATGAACTTGTAAAAAAATGTAAAACTTATTTCAAAGGATATTGGAAACTTTCTGACACCCTCTTAATTGAAATTTTTGAACTGTTGTTAATTTTTTAGTGTGAGTGTATTTTTTTGGAATTTTTAGTGTAGAGTTGTGTCGTGTTTGCGTTGTTAATTGTATTCATTTCCGTTTTCTTGCTCAGTTTCTGAATCCACGGTTAAATTTTTTTGAACTAGTTTAATGTTATTTAATGTTAATTAATGTTTTCAGCTTGTAAGAACTAAATATTTCATGCAGATTTTTTTTAAACAATATTTTATATTTCTTGATCCCCAAGATGGATAAACTGAGTCCATTTCAAATAATAAAAATGCAGTTTCCTTGCTGGTTATTTTTAGAGGTCATTTTGCAAACAATGTTATATAGAAAAACCACAACCTCCAGGGGCAAAAAATGAAGTTAGAGGAAACAACTAGAGTGCAGAATTTGAGACTTGCTGTCGTGCATAAATAATACCCTTTAAGTACGGAAGTGTAGGAAGCGAAATTTACGATCTCTCTGCGGTGGAATCTGCGTTGCATTTTTATATTATTATTTTTTTCGCATTCACGGCCACCAACGGAGGAGCGACGGCCGTGCTCGTGAGTCAGTCTCGTGCACCATCAGAGTTGCATTGCCTCCTTATAATGAAACGCTCAGATAACGTCAGCGCGCTCAGACCTCACTGTGTTTTATATGGTAATTGATGATGACTCATATTTCAGAGAGAGACTGTTTACAAAATGAAAATATATCTCTCGGAGCAGACGCAAATATGTGTTCAGGCAGGCTCTCAGGGCTCTGCACCTTTCTTGACTCTCCCATAAAGCGGAGGGATTTTTTCTGCCAGGAAATTGTGAACAAAAAAAGACCATAATCTCCTCTTCATCTGGCGTTTAGACGAGAGTTATCACCTGCTTTATGGTTTAATAAATTAGACTGATGTGCGCGTTGGGATTTTCCACACAAGACGAGACGTGTTGAATTAAAAGAGAGACGTGAGATGAATGTGGAAAAGGATCGACGGAATGGCAAGCTGCTTTGGGACAATTGCTGATTAAGGCTCATCCGCCAACGTGATGATCAAAGGAATTTGTATTGTGACTTCAAAAATTTCTATATCACAGGTTGAAAGAAAAATTGATTTGAAAGACGATATGTTGGGAAATTCGAAATGTAAAAAAAAAAAATTAAAAAAGTATTGTAACAAAGATCAAGATGATTCGGTTTAATTTTCATTAAAAGTAAAACGAGGTTTTGAAATAAATATTAACAAATAGAGGAGATTTTTATTCTGATATTAATGTGCATCAGTTTCGAAAGCATTTCTAAAAATCAAGAGCAAAATTACACTAATAATTGAAAATTGATCCATACATAAAATAAAAATTCATGTTGTATGACCTTCAATCAATTCTCTCTTTTCAATAATTAAAAATTAATCTTGTCAAACAATCAAAATCAAACATATTGATAGGTTTTGAATTTTCATATTTTAATAACATAATAGAATTTTCTTCGAGAAAATTACTTATTACCCATGAATTTATTATTTTTTTTTAATTGATTCCGGCTCTTTGTGAGCTTTTAACGTTTCTGAGCATAATAAATTTTGTTAATTTTCAATTTCATAAAAATAAATTAATATATTTAATGTGTGTTATGTTTTCTGTTCAACTTTCAAAATATTGGGTGTTGATTATCATATAGAAAGCTGCAGCGGATAAAAATTAATATATTTTATAAGACCTGCGTCTAAATAACTTACAATTAGTCTTGATCAGCCAATCTATTTCAAAACCCACATGATACAAAATTTGCATAATTGAGTACCTCGTCTTGTTTGTCACTATCCGTATCCATCCGTTCGCGCCCATTGATTAGCGAGAAGTAAAAAAAAAACTATATGTGGCGGCGAAAGTTGTGTGTTGGACATTTTTCTTTCTTTCTTTCTCCTTGCAGCGTCTCAAAAGAAGTCTGATATTATAACCGCGCGCGCGTGTGTGTGTCTGAATTCAGCTAATATAAATTTTCATTCCTCTCTTCTCTCGCGATCTTTCTCCTTCAAGAGCAAAACGCGCCGCTTGGTAAAGTTTCAGAGGCTCGCGAGACGCGAAGTATAATATTATTGCCCTGGGACGAGAAAGTGTATTTTTCTTCTTCCCATCCGCCGGTTGTCTCGCTGCTGCGCAAATATCAATCATTTATCCTCTCGCGATCGAGCGAGACACACAAGCCTTTGTTCGAGATAAATTTTATAGACTGCTCGCGATCGGCCGCGTGTCCCTAATTATTAGTGGGTTGGACAAACAACTCTTCTCTCATTAATGATAGAATGGCACCTTGAGGTGGTGTGCCAATTATTTCGCGGTGGAATGCAGCGTTTAAGAAATCGCAGCCTGTTGTTACTAAATATTATAGTGTTAAGTTGCTTAATCAATACTCAATAAAATAATTTTTCATTAAAATGATTTATTAATAAACAAAAAATTAAAATTTAGTGATTTATAATAAATCGGCAAGGTATTCTTCTTAAATAATTATGCTATTCATCGCCAACCCTAATCAATTGTCTAATATTTAGTCAATCAGCATGTCCTGAGAGTTTTCATATTTTGATCAAATCTCGTAGTCTCTTTTTGGTGTTTTCCCTACAAAAAAAAAACTATTTTGGCCATTTTGGTTTATATTTTGATTTATTTGAAATTAGGTTTTTATTTAATTACATTCCATTTTTCGATTCATGCTCTTACTGATAATTTTGGATGTGCAGCAGAACGAAGTAGAATGCAATATTCTAAAATATAGACTTGTGATTAGTTATATTATTCATCTATTTTTTAATATATACATGTATAGAATAGAATCACTAGTAAACTTTTTATAATTAAGCTATAAATTTTTAAATAAAAATCGTGATTGTGTCCTGGAAGATTATTTTTAATGCTTAATTCTAACAGAAATCTCTCAGCGGTATCAAATTTTAAAAATACTTTTTTTATGGAATTGAGAAATTTAAAGTAGATTTAAACTCTCTTTTTTTGGACATAAAATTTACAATAATAAGTTTTCTAATTGCAGTAAAATTTTCTTAGGTTTGCCAGCAAACGTTTTTCCATAAAATTAGAAACTAGAAACCTATACAGCTGCACCCTCTTGTTATCACTCATTTTACAATTTAACAGCCGCACTTGCGGCGGTCGGGCTATTGAACCCATCTAATTATCTGCTTTCCCCGCGTGTTCAAATGAGCTGATGCCATTGCAAATAATTGAGCCTTTCCACAGGGCATGCAATAATCATCAGCATGTCCAGTAATATAACATGTCCCTCATAACAAAATGACACTTGGTTTATTTTGCCAGCATGAAATATTACAAAGAAAGGAAATTATAATATTCTCCTTTCACTCCGCGCGTCCGGCTTCTATTATTTCCTCAAATTAGGTTTGCATTAAAGACGCCTAAATTGCATAATTGTAATTATAATGGTCAAGCTAATTATCAGACTTGCTTTCCGTCAGTCAGAGTGCAACCATTGGAAAATTAATTCTGACTTGTTTATGCGAGTAAGGCAAAAGCGAAATCACGCGCTAAATTTGGAATTACTTTCGTTTCAAGGTTGCTGACCTTCAAATTTATAAATATAAAATTATATACGAAGGAAAAGTGAGGAGTGCAGATGGTAAGTAATTAAATCGAATACAGGTTCCTGGCAGAACGAAAGGGCGAAAGCAAGGTGCACTTCATATAAAAGGAGGCGTGTAATAAGAAGCATTTATCATCAAAGTCAACCGATTATCTTTTTTCGCGCAGGATAATCTTACAAATTTTCTCTTTCCATCTCGATTTTTATTTTAAGTAGCAGAATGGAATTTCTCTTGATTATTTGGATTAATTAAAGCTTATAAAACTGCTAAAATCCTCTAAAGAATTAAACTGTTCATAACTTTCCTTTTTTTATGATAGTTCTCAAGTTTCCACTCAATAGAAACCCAATAACGAAGACACACGGCAAAATTAACTTTAACGACCGGCGAAAAATTTACTAAAATTTTACGAGCCTTTTTCACTGTTCGCCTTCGGAGTGAATTTTTTAACATCACAACACTCATCTCGGCACACTCTTAATTTCTGTTTACTTTTCGTGAAAACGAACGTGCGCCAAAATGTACCGTTTGGAGATATTTATCGCCGGCGTCACCGCATAGAAAGCAGCAGCCACTTAATCACACCTCTCAGGAGCATCTAGAAGTGCTAATGATGGGCGTTTGCAAAAATGAAATGCATCGTAGGATCTCACGTTTTTGTCTCCGCAATAAAACCAAACTGCCCCTTTTGAGCAATAACAAATCAT